GCCCATAAGAGATGGCAACTTTAATTGATAAATGTTGTGTGTGTTCTGACTATTCCACTGACCAGCCATTTCACTGTCTTTCTCCCTCTCTTCAGGCCTACTTATTCCCTAAGACACAACAACATTAAAATTAGGCTAATTAATAACCCTACAGTGGCCTCTAAGTGTTCAAGTAAAAGGAAGAGTTGCACTTCTCTGACTTTAAATTAAAAACTAGAAATGTCAAGCTTAGTGAGGAAGGCATGTTGAAAGCCAAGATAGGCCAAAAGTTCGGCCTCTTGTGCTAGACAGTTAGCCAAGTTGTGAATACAAAGGAAAAGTTCTTGAAGAAAATTAAAAGCGCTACTCCAGTGAACACAGAAATGGTAAGAAAGTGAAACAGCCTTATTGCTGATATGGAGAAAGTTATAGTGGTCTGAATAGAAGATCAAACCAACTACAATATTCCCTTAAGCCAAAGCCTGATCCAGAGCAAAGCCCCAACTCTCTTCAATTCTGTGAATGCTGAGAGAGGTGAGAAAACTGCAGAAGAAATGTTTGAAGCTAGTAGAGGTTTATTCATGAAGTTTAAGGAAAGAAGCCATTTTCATAAAATAGAAGTGCAAAGTGAAGTAGCAAGTGCTGATGTAGTAGTTGCAGCATGTTATCCTGAAGATATAGTTAAGATCATTGATGAAGATGTCTACACTAAATAATAGATTTTCAGTGTAGGCAAAACAGCCTTCTATTGTAAGGAGATGCAATCTAGGACTTTCATAGATAGAAAGAAGTCAGTGCTTGGCTTCAAAGGACAGGCTGACTCTCTTGTTAGGGGCTAATGCAACTTGTGACTTTAAGTTGAAGCCAGTGCTCATTTACCATTTCAAAAATCCTAGGGACCTTAAGAAGTATGCTAAATCTACTCTGTCTGTGTTTGATAAATGAAACAATAAAGCCTGGATGATAGCACATCTGTTTAAAGCTTGTTTACTGAATATTTTAAGCCCATTGTTGACACTTACTGCTCGGAATACAGATTCCTTTTATAATATTATTGCTCATTGCCAATGTACCTAGGTACTCAAGAGCTCTGATGGAGATATACAAGGAGATTAATGTTGTTTTAATGCCTACTAACACAACATTCATTCTGCAGCCTATACATCATGGAGTCATTTTGACTTTCAAGTTTTGTTATTTAAGAAATACATAAGCCTATAGCTGGCATAGATAGTGATTCCTTTGATGGATCTTGGCAAAGTCAATTGAAAACCTCTGGAAAGGATTCACCATTCTTGATGTCATTAATAGGAGTTTGGAAGAAGTTGATTCCAACCCTAATGGATGACTTTGAGAAGTTCAAGACTTCAATGGAGGAAGTCTCTGTAGATGTGGTGAAAATAGTAAAGAAACTAGAATTAGAAATTTAGCTTGTAGATGTGACTAAATTGCTGCAATCTCATGATCATACTTGAATGGATGAGGAGTTCCTTTTTATGGATGAGCAAGGAAAGTGGTTTCTTAAGATGGAATCTATTCCTGGTGAAGATGCTGTGAACGTTGTTGAAATGACAACAAAGAATTTAGAATATTATGTAAACTTAGTTGATAATGTGGTGGCAGAGTTTGACAAGATTGACTCCCATTTTGAAAGTTCTGCTGTGGGTAAAATGCTATCAAAAAGCATCACATGGTACACAGAAATCTTTTTTAAGAGATTGATGTGGCAAACTTCATTGTTGTCTGATTTGAAGAAATTGCCACAGCCACCCCAATCTTCAGCAACCGCCACGCTGATGAGTCGGCAGCCATCAATATTGAGGCAAGATCCTCCACCGGCAAAAACATTATGATTCATTGAAAACTCAGATGATGATTAGCATTTTTAGCAATAAAGTATTTTTAAATTAAGATATGTACATTTTTAAAATACGCAATGCTGTTGCACTGGGAAACCAAAAAATTCATGTGACTCACTTTATTGCAATATTTGCTTTATTGCAGTGGAACTGAATGTGCAATATCTCCGAGATAGCCTATATTTTGACTAGGGGGTTTAAACCATTTACATTTAAAGTAATTATTGATAGGAAAGGATTTACTACTGCCATTTTGTTAACTGTTTTCTGTTTCTCTTGTAATTCTTTTGTCCCTATTTTTCTTTCTTGCTGTCTTCCTTTGTGTTTTGTTGTTTTTTAAATTATTAATACAAAGTTTGTCTCCATTCTTTCTCTCTCTCTGCCTCTCTCTCTCTCTCTTAGTAACTTCTATAGGTATTTTCTTTGTGGTTACCATGGGGCTTCACACAATATCTTATTGTCATATCAATCTGTTTTAAGCTGATAATAACTTTACTTCACTTGAATATAAGAACTCTACACTTTCACTTTTCCTTTCTCCACATTGTATGCTATTGTTGTCACAATTTACATCTGTTTATATTGTATACCCCTTACCATAATTGTTATTTTTAATGCCTTTGTCTTTTAGCTTTTATACATAAAAGTGATTTACCCACCACTAATACAGTATTGTTTTTATCTTTATATTTACCTTTGCCAATGAATTTCTTACTTTCTTACACTCTTGTTTTGCCGTTTAGCATCTCTTTGTTTCAATTTGAAGAACTCCCTTTAGCATTTTTTGTAGTTATAATCTATTAATATCTTTAAGCTCCTTGGTAATTTCTGGACAGCCTTAGCTTAAATACTCTTAAACCAGAGGTTCCCATGTCCCCACAGGCATTTAATGAGGGAGAAGAGAATTTTAGTTTCTTTCTTGTAATTACCATGTTGTCTTCTATTTTGTGTCAGTGTGCATCTCCATTCCGACAGCTTCCCATGTTTTAGATGTTCTGGCTTTTCTAGGGAAGGCTATTTTTCTAACTTCTCTCCAAGGTCTTTATAGTCTCACTACTCCCATAGTTGGTTATGTCCAATAGTTTTCAGGGTTTTACAATTTTTGCATGTTACTTTTTTATTCTCTTAAAGAATGTTATAACAATAGGTATTATAAAGGTTACAGTATAAATTTTAAAAATGTTATTTCTAAAAAAGGGTACCCATACATCAATTTTTGATTGATTCTTCATGATATTTTATGGCAACTGAAGGAGATATTACTTGTTTTCCTACTGCTATGAACTGTGAGTAATTGAATATAATCTAATCAGACAGGTAAAGTCTGGGAGTTTTCATTAGCAGAGGAGAATTCACCATGAAATTAATGATGCTTAAGCCTCATGGCACTCGTTTGCATTGTCCCCTTCAGAGTCACGGCTTCATCAATGAGCCAGAGAAGAAAGCAGCAACTTGAACAGAGTGTAGGTCTTGTGAAGTTCTGACTTACCCTGGGGTCACCCACTATATCCTGGTGATCGCCTTGGGGCTGCAGGCCTGGTTGATGGGTGACCCGTTCTAACTTCACATCCATCTGGTTCCAGTAACTGCTTGCTTTTAGGGACCTTGCTGAACGTCTGAACCTATCTTTGTCCTCGAGTTGAAGGATTGGAGGGAAATACTCTCCCTGCCCTACTCAGGAGCCACTACAACTTAGGTTTTCATGGTCTGGTTGGGTGTTGAGAACCTGGCCAAGTGTGATTGGCTTCTGAGGTGCATCTGTAGGGGGGACACACCCAGTGAGATCAAAGCACTGTCATTCTTCAGGGCTAGTCCTCAGGGTACTAATACCTTCTGAGTAAAAATATTTAAGGAAGTTTCAGATGTGCTGTTACCAATAAGGAGCTGTAAAGTTTAGAGAAGTTTTTCTAGATCATAAGTAATACAAGTAATTTCTATAGCCATGAGAGAGGAAAGACAAAATTGTGTTTCTGTTCTCTTTATTGAAAATACAATTACAATATTGTTAGGTGTGGTGGCATGCACCTCTAGTCCCAGCTATTCGGGAGGTTGAGGTGGGAAGATCACTTCAGCCCAGGAGTTTGAGGCTAGCCTGGATAACATAGTGAAATCCCATCTCTAAAAAAATAAAAATAAAAAATGAAAAAATCGTTATATGAAGAGGCAATCAGTGATATAGGAAAAAGTTTTGTAGAGGTGAATCAGACAGTTTAATAATAATTCTAATAATACTACAACTTAAAATTTTATAATTGTGATTTCTTTTCTCACTAGTTTGATACCTAATTTTGTACCTAATTTCCTTAACAGGTCTCCTCACATTATATAATCGGTAGGCCCCATAAAACTTAGATTTGTTCCTAGTCACTAGTGAACCTAGATCTCTTTTTGGATTGTTTCCGTAAACAGGGGGTGGACTGTATTGATTGTCCTCTTGTGATATGTGTGATTTTCTAGGAAAATTGAGAATTGAGAATTTGTGACTTGGACTAATTTTTTGCTATGAAACTCTAGCTAGCCTGCTCAGAAATTATGTTTTTGATTTTGGCCTCATTAACATCATGTTCTGGTCGGCTCATATGACATACTTAGATTAATGTTGCTAGTAACGAATTCATTAGTAGGGCTTTTAAGCTACATAATAAAAGCACAAAATTTCTAATCAAATAGCTATCTACCCTGCCTGTATTTATTCTCCTTGTTATTTAAAATTACTGACAAACCATAATTTAACTTTTAAAAATTTTACATTGTAGAAAATTTAAATAAATCTAAAAGGAGTAAGCAAACATCCTCAAAATCTTACCACTTGGATACAGCCACTGTCACACGAAGGCTGATAATGTTTAAAAATATACTTTGCAGCACTGGACTCTGAGTTGGGAAACTAGCATTTTCTGGGTTCTAGACTTGTCACTAATTTGCTCTATGACTTTGGGCAAGTTACTTCCTCACTAAGGCTCAGTCTCCTCACCTGGAAAGAGAGGTAATAATATATTGTAGGATTTTTGTGATATATTTTGGAATTTCTAACTAGTTAGTAGTTACAAAGCAGTGTCTACACCATAAATTACCATATAAATGAAAATTTCCATTACTAATTGTTCTTTTTAATTAAGAAAAAGTATATAGAAACAAACACTATTTTTTATGCTATTACAGCTACAAAGATGGCAACAAAAATACCAGCTTGAAAACTTGGGATAAAAATGACTTTAGGCCTCAATGTCAAAGAACAAACCTAGTTGCAAATGGTGGAAGAAATTCTCGTCCAATGAGTCTGGGAGCTCAACAACAGAAACAATTAAGAATATCTGAACCTCCTAACCTATCTCACCACAGAGAAACTGAGGTCCTCAGACAAGCACATTCATCAAAAATATCTGGCTCCACAATGAGAGGTCTAAACAAAAACAGTGCTATACAGGCATTTAAGCCCAATTTTCAACAAAATAAACTTAAGAAAAAAATGTTGGATGATATTCCAGAAGAAAACACTCTGAAGGTAAATGTTTTAATATATATTACATGCGCTGGTTATTTTTTATGTCTCCTCCCTTATTTCCTGAGCCAATAGATTCTTCACCTGTCCTTCCCTGTGTTGTGGAAGGCTGAATCGTCTTATGTAGTGCATCATCCTGGGATTCCTACTTGCTGGCTTCTGCTAGAGATCAGTCAATGGGAGTCACTGGTTGGACATCAAAGGGTGGGAGGACAGGTTGGGTTTTCTGTATTCTCTCCCTCCTTAAATGTTTTGTCACTAGCAGAGGCTGTGTCCCTGCATGACATAGCCCCTCCATGAGTACAGCTTTTACAGGCTTGATACTTTTATTTCCTCCCCTTGACCTTTCAGCCTAGGAATGGTAACAGCTTCTTACTGTTGTTAGTTTTGGCATGCTTAAGTACCCTATGTTTGTTCTGCCCATATGTCTGAAAAAGCCATCAAGATAAATTCTGTTTTTTTTTCCTTTTGGAAATATGACAAATGCATCATGTTTTACAGTGGTTCTCAACCTTATGTTTCCTTGTACACAAGAATGATATGATACAGTCATCTTAGTAACAATGGCTCACTATGGCCATAATCCTCAACAGGAGGCATATTAGAATCTTGGTTAGGATGGGGAGGAGGGAGGAATGTAATTGTATTTTGAACAAAATAGCCCATCAGGTGTTCTTCACAGCCCTCACTGTCACAAAGGAAAGTGTCCCCCTATCCTTGAAAATTAGATTCTTAACACACTGTATTCTTAGTTGACCTTCAAAAATGACAAGCACATTTCAGTCTCAGGGCCTTTATACTTGCTGTTCCTGCTATCCTCACTCAACAACCCATTTAAAATAATAACTCCAGTCTCTCTTTCTCCTTTTACCTTGTGTTTTTTTTAATGCATGAATTTATCAATTCCTGACATTCTATTTTTTATATATATATTATTTTGTGAAGCCCCCATTGGACTGTAAAATCTGTGAGGGCAGATATCTTGCCTATTTTGTTCACTGTTGTTTCCTCAATAGCTATGTTTGGCACATAGTAGGTGCCTGAAATGAACGAACAAATGAATGAGTCTGGCTCCTCCCCTACAGTGTGAGTTTATTCAAGGAAAGGAATTGTCTTACCTGTGTTTCTCACAGGATATGGCACATGCTGCTTTAAAAATATTCAGTGAATGAACAAACAAATAAGTGAATGAATACCCATATGAATAATTCTCTTCTTGGTTAATTGTCTTCAAGTGGTTTCTGGTTTCTTCTGGTTTCTCCTCCTATAATGTACTAGTGATGGCTTTAATGTAGGGAAGTAACCGTACTAAAATTTTTAATAGTTCTTTTTACACATTTGTCTATTATAAGGATCTAGAATCTTTATGTAGAAGATAAAAAAGTAGGTGAAAAAATGAAAGATTTTTCTAATGCCAACTTTTATTTCTTCAAAAGGGAGCCTCATTTTTTCAGTTACAGTTTAAGGAAAAAGATAATTCTTTAAGAATTATTTCTGCAGTTATTGAAAGTATGAAGTATTGGCGTGAACATGCACAGAAAACTGTACTTCTTTTTGAATTATTAGGTAGGTATAATACTACTTCAAAAATACTTCAGAAATACTGTTTGGATAATAGGTTTAATGTCAATAGGAATATCTAGGAAAAAATAAAAAAAATAAAGTTTTGCAAAAGCAGATTGTGATTTATTAGAATTTCCTTCAGTTCTTTGGTTTGTCTTCGACTGGCGTGAAGTATTAGGTTATTTATGATAGTATTTTCCTGATTCATAATGTTAAAATTGGAAAGACTCTTACAAGTAATCTAACCCAACCCCTGAGGTAAGTGAGAAAATGGAGCAAATAATAAAAATAGACTTGACCGAAATCACAAAGCTAGTTAGCAGCAGAAGTAGATCTAGAATCCAGTTCTCCTTATTTTCAGTCTAATGTTCTACTATATTACACTAAATCCAGTTGTAATTTTGTATGTAACTTAAATCACATCTTAAATACTCTGAAAGAACATTTATTAAGAATCTTTACTAATATGAGTAAATACCCTACAGTTAATCTGTTTTCTAAATTAATATTCGAAAGGGGAGGAGAAGAGTTTTGTAGAATGTTTCCAGAATTTGATTTTACCTAGAGTGAAGAGGAGTGGAGAAGCTCTCACTTCTATAAGTAAGAAGTAGAGATTCAATGCTTATTTCTTTCCATCGTTTAAAATAAATAATATTTAATATAATCTAAATTATTAAATAATCAAAACATATAGAAAATATAATAAATATCCACATACTCACATCGTAGATATATTTGAAGTCCCCATCTACTTTAGAGATAACTTTTCTAGAGATAACCATTGTATTAATAGTATCTTTCCTGTCCATGCTTTTATAACTTTGTAATATACATCTGATTCCATAAATTTATATATATAAATTATATATGATGGTTTTATGTGTTTCATAAATATATAGCTTGCATTTTCACCTAGTGAAAATTATGTTTCTGAGATTTAGCAATGGTGATTGATGCAGATCTACTTAATTTTCACGGCTGTATATTATTTATTTTGGGAATATATCATAATTTATATATTCATATCCCTATTAGTAACATTAGAGTTGTTTCAGGTTCTTTTTTTATTTATTTATTCAGGATATTATCGGGGTACAAACGTTTTGGTTACATGTAATGCGTTTACACCACCCAAGCCAGAGCTACAAGCATGTCCCTCCCCCATACAGTGTGTTCCGCTTCCATTAGTTGTGGGTTTACCCGTCCCCTGCCCACCACCAGCACCCAATGAGTATTACTACCATGTGAACACCTTAGTGTTGGTCAGTTAGTACCAGTTTGATGGCAAGTACATGTGGTGCATGTTTTTCCCTCCTTGTGATACCTCACTTCGGAGGATGGGCTCAATCTCTATCCAGGATAACATGAGAGGTGCTAGATCACCATTGTTTTTTGTAGTTGAGTAATATTCCATGGTATACATATAACACATTTTATTAATTCACTCATGTATTGATGGGCACTTGGGTTGCCTCCACATCCTTGCAATTGTGAATTGTGCTGCCATAAACATTTGAGTGCAGATGTCTTTATTGCAGAATGCCTATTTTTCCTTTAGATAGTTGCCTAGTAGTGGGATTGCTGGATCAAATGGTATTTCTATTTTTAGCTCTTTGAGGTATCTCCAAATTACTTTCCACAGGTGTTGTACTAATTTGCAGTCCCACCGGCAGTGTAAGAGTATTCCAGTCTCTCCACATCCACACCAGCATTTGTTGTTTTGGAACTTTTTGATAAGGGCCATTCTCACTGGAGTTAGGTGATATCTCATTGTAATTTTGATTTGCATTTCCCTGATTAGAGATGTTGAGCACTTTTTTATATGTTTGCTGGCCATTAGGTTCTTTTTTTTAACAAGCAATATTGCAATAATTATCTTAGTTCATGGCTTCTTTTATATACACATAAGTGTTTCACTAGGGTATATACCTAGAAATGGAATTGCTGGTAAGCAGGGGGTGTATGTTTTCCATTTTATTAGATATTGACAGATTGCTTTCTAGAGTGGTTTATAGTTATTTTATCCTCACATTTTCACTGACAGATATGAGACTGTAATTTTTGCTAATGTAATGTGTATAAAATGGTAATTCAGTTTTTATTATTTTAGCTTATATTTGAGTATGACACATATTTAAACAAAAAGAATATTTCTATCATCTAGTCCTTTGTCCGTAGGAATAACTTAGAGTTATTATATATAAAAATTCTCTCTGTATATGAATTATATGTCCATGAGTATCATGGTTGGATATGTTAATTTCCTTACCTGTAGTAATGATTTCATATCAAAACATCATGCTGTGTACCTTAAATATGTATAATAAAATAAATTAAAAACTCAATTTGCTCATAGTCACAAAATATTAGCAAGTTGAACACCCTGGGACTAGAATGCATGACTTCTGATTCTAATTCAATGTTTTTGTTCATTAAACTATGATGCATATTTTTTATATGTGTGTATTTTATTATTATAGTGTTTTAAACTGGTCTGGGTATTTAACCACTCTACAGAACACATTCTAAGGTAAAAGTGTCAGATGGCCGACCATTGTCAATTGTACGAACTTAACATGTAACCTGTGTAATCTCTACTTGGAGAGGGCCAGAAATTTTGTTTTCTTTAGTATAAAACTGTTTCAGAAATATATTGCCTTCTTAAAATGTCTTCTTTATTACTGTATAAATATAACTATGAGAGATCAGTGTGGGAAGTTGTTTAAATATCAGCTTCTCTTTGTTAAATTTTAGTTGCATTTTACCAACATTGATTTTTTCCCCCTATTTCAATGTTGTGTAGCTGTTCTCGATTCAGCTGTTACACCTGGCCCGTGTCATTCAAAGACTTTTCTTATGAGAGATGGGAAAAATACTCTGCCTTGTGTATTTTATGAAATTGTGAGTATTTTTATAGTATTATTTGCAAAGCCTATGCCAACTAAACATAAAAATTCCATTGCGTTAGAAATTCTGTTAACAATTTAGTACTTTCAACATTTTTTTTTTATTTTAGTTCTGATACTAAAGTTACTTATTTGTTTAAATAATAGAGAGAGCCTACTACATGCCAGGCACTGTGCTTCATGCAAGGATATAAAGTGGAATATAAGTGGTAAATGGCTCTTTTTCCCAAAGAGTTTATAATCTCACGTAGAAAGATAGATACGTAAGTGTTACACTGTGGTTTGATAAATGGGATAGTGGAGGTAGGTATGTGCAGGGTGCTACAGAAGTAGATAAGGCTGAACATGGTGGCTCATTTCTGTAATCCCAGTACTTTGGGAGGCTGAAGTGGGAGGATTGATCTCTTGCAGCTGGGAGTTCAATACCAGACTGGGCAACATAGCAAGACCCCCGTCTCTACAAAAATTATAAAAAAGATTAAGTGGGCATGGTGGCACACGCCTGTAGTTCTAAATACTTGGAAGACTGAGGTGGGAGGATCACTTGAGCCCAGGAGTTCAAGGTTACAATGAGCTGTGATCATGCCACTGCACTCCAGCCTGGGTGACAGAGTGATACCCTGTCTCTGGAAAAAAAAGTAGATAGGAAGGATGGGGCAGATCAGGGAAAGATTTTCAAAGAAGATAGTAGCATAGCTTATCCTAGATCTTTAAGGACTAGTAAGAGTCTACTAAGCCAAAGTGTGTTAGGAAGGGAGAGAAGAATGCATTGTAAGGTGAGGAAGCAGCATATGCAAAGACATGAAGCTAAGAGAGAGCTTGACTTGTCCAGGGAACTGCAAGTAGTTTATATTACCACAGTGTAGAGCGAGTAAGTGATGGGGGTAAGGGTAGTGGTTCTGAAATTGAGGGAAGGCAGAGCATGGGTTGGGAAATAAGGAAGAGAGAAGGCTTAGTGACAAAGAAGGCTGAGATCTCGAAGGAGGCTGTAGACTTTATAAGATCTACATACTTTGTGAAAGAGTTTGGCCTTAATTTTCAAATGGACCTCAATTTTGAAATCAGACTTGGAACCTAATGTTTACTTTACCATTTATTAACTTTATGACCTAAGTAAGCTGTTTCAACTACCTGAACTTCAGGTTTTTTAATTTATAAAATGAGGAGACAAATTCCTACTTTGAAAGGTTCGTGTGGGAATTAAACGATAAAACATGAATGTGCAGTACATGACGTGTAGTAGGTGATCCAGAAATAGGAATTGTCATGTTAACTTCTATAATATCTTGAATGCTTATTATTTTTCCTATAGTCTAAGTTTTTTTTTAAAAAATTTGTTATTGAACTATAACATGTACAGAAAAGTGCAAAATCGTAGTTGTACCAGCTCTGTGAAGTCACAAAGTGAATGTTACCCAGGCTAAGAAATAGAACATTGCCTTCATCCCTGAAACCTCGTTGTGCCTCCTCCCATTCACTCCCTCCTGTCTTTTACCTAAAAGTAACCACCATCCTGACTCTTAATGTCATCAGTTAATTCTGTTTTTGAACTTTACATAAATAGTATAATACAGTATGTCTTTTTTAAATATCTGGTTGCCTTCACTTGACAAAATGTAAGATTCATTTACATCGTTGCATGTAGCTATAGTTGACTCATTTATATTGGTGTTTATAATGTTGTGTTGTATGAATACACCACAATTTAGTTTTCTGTATTACTGTTGGTGGGCTTTTAGGTTGTTTCTAGGCTTTTTGCTATTATGCATAATGCTCTATGAACATTCTTGTATATGTCTGTTATGTATATGCATGCATTTATGTTTGAGACATACCTAGAAGTAAAATTTCTGGATCATAGAGAATGCATATATTCTAATACAGTACTTATTGACAAAGAATTTTCCAAAGGGTTCTATCAATTTACATACTCACAGTAGTGTAGGAGAGTTTGGTTTCTCTGCATTATTATCAACACTTAGTATTGTCAATCTTTTTTATTACAGTTATTCTGGTGGACAAGTTTAGTGTTATTTCTCTATAGTTTGCTGGTGAATAATGAGATTGAATACCTTTTCATATATATTGGCCGTTTAGATATCTTCTTTTGTAAAATCTATTCAGGCCTCTTGCTCTTTTTTCTATTGAATTGTCTTTTTCTTATTGATTTGTAGGAGTTTGTTTTTTTTAACTATTCTGGGTACAAGTTCTTTGTCATTATGTGTATTGCAAATATATGCTCATACTCTGTGGTTTGCTTTCTCACTGTTAATGGAGGCTTTTGATAAACAGAAGTAGTTCATTTTAATATAGTCCTTTTATCAGTCATCAGTCTTTCTCCTTATAATTAGTGCTTTTTATGACCTTTTAATGAAAGCAATTTCAGAATTCTTTAATTTTATTCATGATTGAGAGGACTTAGAGATTACTGGTCTTTTGCTGGTTTGTTAGTCCTCTCAAAGGCATAGCCCTTTTGGGTCCCAACCCTAAGCCTCAGGTTGGGGTGAGGGTGGGTACTAGAATCTCTTTTCCTTGGGGGCCTGAGACTCCATATTTTGTTTCTCACTTCTGTGAGTCTGTCAAAAGCTCTGCTCAGTTTCTTACACTCTCAACTGCCTTTCTGTAATTGACAGATATCTCAGGGAGAAAGCACCACTCAAATCAGGCCCCATCCTGGACTCCTGTATTCTCCCAGATGGAATCTCTGTAATTCCTCACTGTCTTGGTATCTCTCTGATGCCTACAAGGATATTTTTAACAAAATATTTCACCCAGATATTCTAGTTCTTAGCTGGAGAGTTGGTTTGGATCACCTAGTCTGCCATCTACTTAAAGTAGAGCTCTGGCAATCTGATAAAAATACTTGTGCCATTATGTTGGGAATGTCTTATTAGTCTTTTAAGAAGCCTCAACTTGCTAGCTTGTAAGAAGCCCAGGGGTCTTTCCTTTGTGATAGGGTACCCATATATGCCTAGCTGCCATAGTCTTGTCAGCAATGGGGCCCTGACTCAGGTGAGGGAATTATAGCATTTTAGAGTGATATGTACTTAGTTGATCATATTATTAGTTTTAAAAAATTGAAATTCAGATGACATAATAAATAATCTTTTGATATTTATTTTTTGAAAAACAGGATCGTGAACTTCCAAGGCTGATTAGAGGCCGAGTGCATAGGTGTGTTGGAAACTATGACCAGAAAAAGAACATTTTCAAATGTGTTTCTGTCAGACCAGCATCTGTTTCTGAACAAAAAACTTTTCAAGCGTTTGTTAAAATTGCAGATGTTGAGATGCAGTATTATACTAACGTAATGAATGAAACTTAAGTAGTGATAAAGGAGGTTTAAATAATATAAATTATAGCATTTTCCGTTGTTGCTCAATTTACTGTCTCCATAGTTTTATAGCTACTGTTTTTCTGTATTTCACTTGTTGAATAAAATTATTTAAATCCTTTTAAACATGGAAAGAATTTTTGAGAAATAATTTTACTATTTGTATTAAAATGTTGCATTTGCTAAAACTCCACAATCACTTCAGATAAAAACACTCCATAAAATAGAAATAGATAGATGTTTCTTTAATATGGGCTAATAATATATCTGAGTTAGTCCCCAAACCGGCATCAGGCTTAAGGGGGAAATATTAGACATGTTCCCACAACAAGGAACAAGACAAGGGTGTCTGCTGTCAGTCCTGATATAAAGCATTGTTCTGGAACTGCTAGCCCGTGCAGTTAATTTAATTACTTCAAATATTTAAGGAGAATCTACTCTGTGCCAAACACTGTTGCAAGTGCTGGGGTCAAGCGGTTCACAAAATAACAAAAATTAGGAGTACCAGAAAGGTTGGTGTACTCCCCTACAGAGTATGTCATATGTTTTGAACCAGGAACCCATATATATAGTGCTGTTTCTACCATAGCCATGATTTATTAGTCCGGGAATCAAGTGGTGGTAGCAGTGCTGACTTCTCTCATTATAGACCAAATAACATACTCCCAGAATTTTTGCTTCCCACCCCCACAGTTTTGGGCTCCACTGATTTACTAATCTTACTTTCTGTCATAGCCTGGATTACCCACAATGCAGAGACTGAAACAAAGCCTTATTTGCAAGTATTTTATTTGAGAATTTTACCTCATGGGGAGAAGTAAGAGATAGAGGGGTGTTGAATAGGGAAAAAGGGAGACCCAATACTAGGATGGCTTCTTGAGTATTCACCAGCTTCCAGCACCTGTATTTAAGGGTTGACATATAGGGCATTAGCTCCTTTGCACTTCAGGTTGTGTATGTATGAGTGTTGAGCTGGTTTTCTGTGATATTCCACTCCATGGAATCAGAGAAACCCTATGGCAGGAACAAGAAGCAAGTGGAGCAGGCCCAAGGTAATACTGTCAGACTGAATTTGTATGAAGCTGGTTGCAATCTGTGTGAACTGGTTACTGTGGCTGTAACTGGAATAAGAGATAATGGCTGAAAGAGTTTGAAGTGGTGCACAAGAAGTGTCTGATATAATTCCCAAGGAAGGAATGCTTCTACCAGGAATGCTTCAATAGTTCCATTCTATGAAAAGCTGAGATTGCTATTTGGGAATTTTAGGTTCTTTATGTCATTGAACCAATAGAAAAAAATGGGGGTTACTATGCTGCCTAAGGTAATTCAATCCCAGGTAACAACGTAAAATTGTGTTTTTCTACACAGTGAGGAAAGATCATGGTTGATATGCAGGAGATTCTTTTAGGTGTCACTTAGTAAAAGTTAATGGAAAACTACTATAGCAACACAATAAAGGCAATAATACTGAGAATTCAGACTCATAGGGAATGAAAGTTGAATCTAGCTTAAGTGATGAAAAAGGGAATATGGAATAGGTGTGGAAGAAGGAGTTATAAATGTCAATCATGATCTTGTGATCAATTGCAGGGGAAGGAAATGCTGGCACTAGGAGTAATCTGACATATATGGAGGGTAGTAGGGATAATGATGGTGTCTGGGTGTTATTTAGGTTTTCCTAGAGAGGTAAGGAGATAGAAGTAATTCAAAGGGATGCAAATCTGGATTTCCTTTTCTACCTTGGCCTGAGAAGAATTGTATATGATCTGGGAGAGTTCATCTTTCCTCTCACTCCTGTCCTTTCTGTATATTTTCTGTGGTTCAGACATAGAAGTCTGATCCTTGTTGATTACAGTTTTTCTCTCTCCTAGGGCCTGTTTACAGGGATTTAGGTCGTAGTGAGAGAGTCTTTCTAAAAGCATGTGTCTTTCCTTAGTGGTACTCTGTTCAAAGACCACTGATGGCTGCTTCTTGTCCACAGGATAAAGCCTAAACTATTATATGCAAGATACTTTACAACATTTAAAGTCTGGTCCCTGCTTACTTTTAGGGCTTTCCAACCATTCTTTTTCATCTCTCAAAATGTAGCCTCCAGGCGCACAGGACTACTGTCCATTCCCTAAGCAGGCAATGATTAAGCGTCTGTCCATGAGCTTCTTTCCATCCTTATGATCCCCCAAAGTATAGTCAGATGTGATCAGTGATTGTAATCAGTCACTGCTATGGGACTCTCAGAGAATTTGTTCTAAAGAGGTCCTGGTTAATTACTTTTTCTTTAATGAGTCCCTCCAGGATCTAAATTCCTCTGGGTTGCAGAGCCCCCTTAGGCCCAGAGATGAGTAGAAGGGGAGGTGTGAGAAGGGCAGGTTCAGACCCAGGTGACGACTACAGAGGCTGTTACTTCACATGCCTATAATGAATAAAGGGGAGCAGGATCTCAGATCTGGGCCTTTAGACACATTTGGTAAGTTGGGCAGGAGGGTAAATGAGCTGGTGCCTTAGTATCCCTATAACATGAGGGTCTGGATTTCCCCAGTTGTATGATGTTTTGTAAGATAGTTTTTCAGGTATGATAACTTACCTTTTCTCCACATCTCTGCCTCTCCAGACTTTGCTACATTCCAGAAATATTTTGATTAACATCCACCACTTAAACTCTTTACTAATGATAGTGTTCATTAATATTACTATGCCATGTACTCTCACAAGACTGTATCATTTCAGCATAATGGCATCTCTGTGAGGTAGGCGTTTGATACAGAGGTTCCTAATCCTTGGATATATATTTGAATTACTTAAGAAGCTTACTGAAGGCACCCTTTCAGAGATTCTGATTACATTTACTGGGGGAAGGTGCAATAATCTGTATTTTAAAATTATATTGTATGTCCTTACTACTCAAAGTGTTATCCATAAAACAGCAGAATTGGCATCACCAAATATAAAATTTGAACTTTCAAAATGTAGACTATTAGGCCCCACACTGAACCTACTGAATCAAAATCAACATTTAATACATCAACATTACATACAAACCAGGTGGTTTGTATGTAAATTAAATTTTTAGAAGCAGTGACCTTTGTCAGTCTTGTGGGCAGTCTGGGCTGAGAAACATGGATTTACCACGTTTACCAGGTAAAGAAGATAAGAGTCGTCATTAAGAGAGCAGCTGAAACATATCCCTCATCAGTGGCAGCATCTTCAAGTGGTGTCTCTTTGGTTTGTGATTCCTAATAAGATTCTTGACACCAGAAATGAATCCCACACATTTCCTAGGGAAATAAAATTCTGAGAAATCAGGCATATGGAACTTCACTTGATGCATTTTCCTGCTGCAACACTAGCACATTATGTCCAAATGCAAAAAAATTAGTGTAGCTAGATTAAACAGCATCATCAGGGTGAAAATTCCAGCAGTTGGTGTTTTTTTATTTTTATTTTTATTTTTTTCTGAGACAGAGTCTCACTCTGTTGCCCAGGCTAGAGTGCCGTGGCACCAACCTTGCTCACAGCAACCTCAAACTCCTGGGCTCAAGCAATCCTCCTGCCTCAGCCTCCTGAGTAGCTGGGACTACATGCATGTACCACCATGCCCACCTAATTTTTTTATATATATATTTTTAGTTGTCCAGCTAATTTCATTCTATTTTTTTAGTAGAGACGGGGGTCTCACTCTTGCTAAGGCTGGTCTTGAATTCCTGATCTTGAGAAATCCTCCCGCCTCGGCCTCCCAGAGTGCTAGGATTACAGGCATGAGCCACCACGCCTGGCCCCAGCAGTTGGTTTTAATTATGTCTTTTAAGGAAGAAACTTCCCAAATGCCTTAATGCTCCTCTTCAGCTTTCTTAGCTCTGAGGCGCTCTGGGGTATGGATATCTGGAGAAGGACTAAAGTGAGGTCTCAAGGGTACAAATTACTCCTTCCTTTTCTCCCAAATTACTAAACCTCTCTATCAGATAATTTTTTTCATATCATTATCACTGAATGATGTTTATTTCAACATAAGGAACAAGGTGACTGTATGGACATCCATACTGGATTGTCTGTTTAGGATAAAGAGTAGTGTGGTTGGATGGTCTAATATTTTCCGTGGATCTGAAGATACATCTAGGAATTTTGCAATAAAATGTTAAAAGCTAATGCAAAATGGTTAAAGCAAGTGAGTTCTTATTCCAGGAGAATTTAGTTGGAGTAGTTATTGTAACTTCAGTGGGAGTTGCTGCATTTAAAGTTTGAGGAATTTATGTCTCAGCTTGAAGGACAGCCAACAAATATTAATGAAACTTTGGCCACAACCAGATACCATGCCAGGTGCTGGCCTTGCTGCAGTCACAAAGGCATCAGGGCCTTTCCTGTATGGAGTTTATAATCTGGTAGAAAAGTCAGCTTCAACTAGCGATCAAGGCTATTGAGTTCTATTGGATGAGGACAGGATGCTGTGGAAACTGAAGCATGGTCTGCAGAAACAGGGAAGGTTTAGCAGAGCAAGTGCCATGTAATATACCTGAAGGATAATCGGCAGTAAGCAAGGTGAAAAAGGGGAAGAGGGAAGAAGGTGTTAGGCAGGAGGATCAGCAAGTGTGAAAGGCTGGAGACAAGAAATTATGACTTCTAAGTCCAGCATTGTGGGAGAGAGGGATGCAAGAGTCCTGTGGGCCAGATGAGGCTGTGGAACTAGGCATGGGTCAGGTAATGAGATCATTTGTGTCCTTGAAAGGAATTTTGCCTTTATCTTAAGAGCAATGGGAATCCATGAAGATTTAAGCAGGAAATGATGATCAGTGTTTTATCTTAGAATACCATAGTGTGAAGGGATTGAAGGAGAGTGAGATTGGAAGCAGGGAGATGAATTAAGAGGCTGTTCAATAGTTTGGACAAGATAGGATGTCAATCTGGTCCAGATAGTGGCGGTTGAGATAAACTGTGGATGAATTAGACAGAGAATGAAGTGGCAGAATCTGAGACTTATTAGATTAGATGTTGATGGTGAGAGAAATGAATAAATGAAAGAAAACTCTTCAGTTTCTGACTTGAGCCTGGATTCCTTTTACTGAGATATGAGAGACTGGAGGGGAGTGGGTTGGGAGAGAAGCAGAGAGAGGTCACGAATTTCATTTGGGATCTGTTGAGCTGAAGACAGTTGTGATATATCCATGGGAAGATAGTCAGGAAGCAGTTGGTAATACAGTACTGAAGGTGATGGAGAGGTTTACCCACAAGGTTTAGACTGTAATCAAGGTCATAGGCATAGATGAACTCTTTAAGGGCCGTATCTATAGAATTATAATAGAATAGAGTTTAGGAAAAAGCCCCAGGAAACACTAATATATAAGATACTGTTAGGGAAGAAACTTGATTACAGTTACTGAGAATGAATGGCTAGGGAAGTATTAGGAGAACCAGTGTGATCCCACAGAAGCTAACAGGTGAGAGTGCTTTAGAAGGGAGGGGAGAATCAATATTGTTACATGTAATAAGAAGTGAAGAAAGTAAGTCTGAAAGTGGCTTGGAGTTAGTGATGTGGCATATTTCTTTATTTTATTTTATTTTTTTAGGTTACATGGATCATTTTTGTAATGCTTGAGTCCTGCCTATAGGTGTGCCCATCACCCAAATAGTGTTCTTGGTACCCATTAGGTTGGTTTATTCCCCTTCTTTCCTCTCCCTCCCCACTGGCTGCTCTCCACTGAGTTTTACTTCTGTCTATGCACTTGTGTGTGCTAATTGGTTAGTTCCAGTTTAATAGTATGTGTGGTGTTTTTCCATTCTTGCGATACTTCACTTAGGAGAATGGTCTCCAGTTCCATCTAGATTGGTCCAAAAGGTATTAATCAATCTTTTTTATGGATGAGTAGTACTCCATGGTGTACACATACCACATTTTATTAATCAGGGAAATACAAATTAAAACCACAATGAGATATCACCATGTCCCAGTTATAATGGTTTTTATTAAAAAGTCCAGGAACAATAGATGCTGGTGTGGATGCAGAGAGAAAGGGAGACTTATACAGTATTGGTGGGACTGCAAATTAGTGCAACCTCTATGGAAAACAATGTGGAGATTCCTCAAAGAACTAAAAATAGACCTACCATTCAATCTGGTCATTCCACTACTGGGTATCTACCCAAAGGAAAAGAAGTGATTTTATCCGAAAGATACCTGCACTTGAATGTTTACTGCAGCATAATTCACAATTGCAAAGATGTGGAATTAACTCAAGTATTCATCAATTCATGAGTGGATTAATAAAATGTGGTATATGTGTATTTCTGATTACAGAGATTGTTGTCATGGATAATTATGGTGAAATCATTTGGTGCAGAACATCTAACAGACCATGTATCATTTACTAAAAGAAATACATTTACTTTTATTTAGGTTTAATCGACCCAGATATTTTCTCTTAAAGACACTGAACACAGAGCATGACAGAAAGGAACCAAACCGTCATCTCAGAGTTCCTCCTCCTGGGCCTGCCCATCAAACCAGAGCACCAAAACCTGTTCTATGCCCTGTTCCTGGCCATGTATCTTACCACTGTCCTGGGGAACCTCCTCATCATAATCCTCATTCGACTGGACTACCACCTTCACACACCCATGTATTTGTTTCTCAGCAACTTGTCCTTCTCTGACCTTTGCTTTTCCTCTGTCACAATGCCCAAATTGCTGCAGATCATGCAGAGACAAGACCCATCCATTCCCTACACAGGCTGCTTAGCCCAAATGTACTTTTTCCTGTTTTTTGCAGACCTGGAGAGCTTCCTCCTTGTGGCCATGGCCTACGACCGCTATGTGGCCATCTGTTTCCCCCTGCACTATGCCACCATCATGAGCCCCAGGCTCTGTCTCTCCCTGGTGGTGCTGTCCTGGGTGCTGACCACATTCCATGCCATGTTGCACACCCTGCTCATGGCCAGGCTGTGTTTCTGTGCGGACAACGTGATCCCCCACTTTTTCTGTGATATGTCTGCTCTGCTGAAGCTGGCTTGCTCTGACACGCGAGTTAATGAATTGGTGATATTCATCATGGGAGGCCTCATTCTCGTCATCCCATTTGTACTCATCATTGTGTCCTATGCAAGAATTGTCTCCTCCATCCTCAAGGTCCCTTCTGCTAGGGGTGTCCGTAAGGCCTTCTCCACCTGTGGCTCCCACCTCTCTGTGGTGTCACTGTTCTATGGGACAGTTATTGGTCTCTACTTATGCCCATCAGCTGATAATTCTACTCTGAAGGAGACTGTCATGGCTGTGATGTACACTGTGGTGACTCCCATGCTGAACCCCTTCATCTACAGCCTGAGGAACAGAGACATGAAGGGAGCCCTGGGAAGAGTCATTTGTCAAAAGAAAATTCTCTTCTCTTTGTGATGGTAACACTTGGGATTATTACACAATTTTATCCAGTAGGTATATTGACATTGATATTTGAGTATTATTCCAGACCTTTTTTCCTCACATGGAGATTTGTGCTTAAATGAAATATTACATAGTTGTCCAATAAATAAAACAGATGAAGTAAAGGTGCATAGTTGAACTAGGAAGGGGTTCTCAGAAACTTAGTAGGAAGGTTTTCTTCTTTGTTAATCACAGGTGACCCTGAGGAGGTATAATTTAAAATATTCTAATTGAAATTTATGTCAGGCTATTAAATTGCTAATTTTTCATGTGTTCTTTTTAAAAAGTATAACACTGCTTTAAATGATACTTATTCTTTCCATGTCAATACTAAGACCAAAACTTCTCAGTCCCCTGCTCCTCCCGCTAACCTTTTTATTGTTGAATAAAAATTCTTATGTCAGGCCGAGACGGGCGGATCATTTGAGCTCAGGAGTTCGAGACCAGCCTGAGCAAGAGCGAGGCCCCATCTCAACTAAAAAAAAAAAATAGAAAGAAATTAGCTGGACAACTAAAAATATATATAGAAAAAAATTAGCCGGGCATGGTGGCACAGGCCTGTAGTCCCAGCTACTTGAGAGGCTGAGGCAGGAAGATCGCTTGAGCCCAGGAGTTTGAGGTTGCTGTGAGCTAGGCTGATGCCACAGCACTTTAGCTGGAGCAACAGAGTGACACTCTGTCTCAAAAAAAAAAAAAAAAAAAAAAAAATTCTTATGTCTTCCTAAGCAAGTGTTCACATCATTCTGTTTTTAAACCTTTTTTTCTTCTCCTTGATTTTTGTGTCTGCATTGTCTTTTTTTTAACCTGACCTAAACCTAAATGAACTTTCTTTGCTACAGTTTGGTTTGTCTTTACCTAGGAGCTAAGTCATACCTGAGACCCTAAAAGTTACTTCTTCAAGCATGGGGAAGGGAGCCAAAGTCTGCTTAAGAACCTCATTCATTCATTCAATTATGTTAGTTATTTTAATATTTTTAAAAAATTGAAACAATAATTGTGCATACGCATGCAGTACAGTGTAACATTTCAATACATGTATACAGTGTGTGATGATCAAATCAGGGAAATTAGTATATCACCTCAAACTTTTACCATTTCTTAGTGTTCAGCACATTCAAAATCTCCTCTTCTAGTTATTTGAAAAAATATAATCAATTACAATAATTGTTTAGTATAGTCACCCTACAGTGCTATAGAACACTAGAACTTATTCCTCCTGTCTTCCTATAAGTAGCCCTCCCAGGCAGGCTGGAGAGAAATTCGGAATGAATGGGCTGAAGGCTGGATGAATATCAATAGGAGGAAATACTCTGGGTGGGAGCTGTGCCGATGTACTAATAACATAAAGTCAGAAAGAGGCATCACTCTCAGGGACTACATTTATGAATACGTATTTCCTGAGCTAGGAGCTTTGGGAGAGAAAAGTAAGACTTTGGAGAAGCTTATGTTGGATATTCCACAATAAAAATTCTACAGATCTGCTTGGAATATAAATGCTTTCTCCTTCAAAAGTCTTGTCATATGTGTGAGGGAGGTGACATCAAGTAAGGGAGAGAGATACAGCAGAGGATGGAGATGGAACATTCCTTTGTCAACCTTAAGATATACCATGTATGCATTAATGTAGTTTTATTTAGTGAACTCTTTCCTTCTCTAGACCCTACCTGTCCCCTAAACATTCTCTGGGATTCTTAGGTGGTAGTGAAGAGAAGGTACTTATTTTATGTGAACAACAAAATTAAATGATTCTTGGCACTGGAACCATGGTTTAAAACACCTTTCCACACTGATCTGCAGGGAATCTCACATTCCCAACAGAAGGAAACTTTGCAATGATATTCTTGGTTACTTAGGCTGTGATTAACTAAATGGCCCTGCCCTGTAGGACATTGCTGCCCAGGAATACAGGACTGCCAAGGTCTCAACTCTGCCCAGAAAGTGGGCACAGCCAAAAACAGGGTAGCAACTTACCCAGGAGGCTTGTTTGGCAGAACCTAACTTTATATCTCCCTATATTATTTACCTTTTTCTATAGAACTTATCACCATGCGGTATGCTATATGTTTATTTATTTATTTTGTTTACCTTTATAGCATGTGATTTTCTTGACTGCAGAGGCTTTTGTCTGTTTTGCTCACCAGTGCCCTAGAAGACTGTCTAGATCATAAAAGTAATTTTACTATTTGTTGATTGAATAAATAAATGAATTATATAGGATTTTCTTATAGGACAAACACATAACACCACTCCTCAGGAATCAGGAGATAGAAAAAAAAGGTTATAGGACAGTTTCCTGGTAACTCTGGGAAATTTTCCTCAGTCCATAAAAGGCAGGAAAGGAGGGACCCTATCATCTCTCAGGTCAGTGACCGCCTCCCCACAAATACCTGGCACAGAGCACCCTGAACATCAGTATTTCTGAGGCTGTAGATAAGTGGGTTCAGCATGGGGTTGATAACAGTCATGAAAACTCCAACCCCTTTATCTTTATCTGAAGAATCCAGTGAACCCAGCCTCATGTAGCTGAAGACACCTGTCCCATAGAAGATGCCCACCACGGTGAGGTGGGAGCCACATGTGGAGAAGGCTTTCTTCCTGCCTTCTGCAGAGCGGATTTGTAGCACAGCAGCGACTACATGGGCATAGGACACAGTGATGAGGACCAAGGGGGACACAGCCATAAAGGCTGCTGCTACAAAGAGCAGCAGCTCATTGAGTTGGGTGCTGGAGCAGGAGAGCTGGAAGAGCTGTGGAAGGTCACAGTAGAAGTGATTGATCACATTGGGGCCACAGAAGTTGAGAGTAGTTAAAGCAATAGTGTGGGTCAGTGCATTGGTGAAAGCACAAGTCCAGGACGCAGCCACCAACATCCTCTGGACCATCTGGCTCATGTGGGTGCTATAGGTGAGGGGCCGGCAGATGGCCAGGAATCGGTCATAGGCCATGGTGGTCAACAGGAAGCAGTCCATCCCAGCCAGAAGGTGGAAGAAGCATAGTTGTGTAACGCAGGCATTATAGGAAATTATAAGCCTGTGGGACAAGAGATGACTCAACATTGCAGGAACAGTGACAGTGATACATCCAACGTCCAGCACCGATAGGTTCCCCAGGAAGAAGTACATGGGAGTGTGGAGTTTGGGCTCCACCAGGATGGCAGCCAGGATGCTGAGGTTGCCCCCAACTGTGACCAGGTAGGCAAAGAGGAAGAGCACAAAGACCACAGACTGCATCTCTTCTGTTTCCACTAGGCCCAGTAGAGTGAACCCAGCAACAGCGGTTCTGTTGGTTCCAGCTTCTGGCTCCATGAGTTCCTGTAAGGAAACGTCCCAATAGGGGAGGTATCAGTCCACTCATTCACTTACTCAACATAAACATTTTAAACCACTTATGTTCAAAGCCCCAAGGTGAGTTCCCAGTGTCCAGGTGAATATTTCCCCAGTACCCTGGCCGTACCTCACACACTGACCTCCACTAACCACCTCGATGCCTTAGCCCTGCTCTTGGTTGAGATGCCCAATGCCATCACCACCTTGTCCCTTCCATCCTCTGCTAGCTGAGTGGGTTACAATACATGGGAAAATAAAAAGATATAATGTACAATGTGAGGACCAGTGTTAATAAAGTGTATTGTATTTGAGATTTTTGCTAAATCAATAGATTATAGCTGGCCTTACTGTGGGGAGTGGGGTGGGTAACTATGTGATATGATGGATATGTTAATTTGTTTCACTACTGTAACCATTTTACTATATATATGTGTCCCATAGCATCATGTTGTATACCTTAAATATATACAATAAAATTTGTTAAAATGATAAAAAGACTTCCCTTTTGAATATAGTGAGATTAAGATAGAATTTCCCCATATTTCTCTGAGGGATCAACCTAAGGCAAAAAGCAGATTATTTTTTAAAATTTATTTTTAATTGACAAATAATAATTATGCATATTTATGGGGTACAATGTGGTGTTTTGATCTATGTGTGCTTCGTAGAAGATTGAATCAATCAAGTTACCATATCCATCACCTCAGCAACTTATTTTTTTTTGTGGTGAGAACGTTAAAAATATATTCTTTTATCTAAACTGAAGGACATTATGCTAAGTGAAATAAACCAGACACACATATTGCTTGATCTTACTTATATGTAGAATTTAAAAAAGTCAGTCTCAGAGAATCAGACACCAATAAGCAGACTTCGAAACAGAAAAATTAATGATGTTTCCAGGGAAACTAGAAAGTACTTGAAACTGTTGCCTAGGTTTCAAGACTTCTAGAATTAGTAAAGATCAAGTGAAGGCTTGGCAAGAATCAGAGAGAAGATACCCATGATTGTGGATGTCAGAAAGATCATCCAAGTACATCTCTCCAAGGTGAGGGACCATTCTCTGAAGTATAATTTCAAAATCCCTTGTTCTATAAATTGCTAGTGTTATTATTATTACTTAAGCCCTTTCACAGGACTTCGAATAACAGCTTAATTTAAAATTATTTATTCTGTTTATATTGTCAGCTACTCCTCTCTAAAATCAAAGTTGTAAGTATGGCCTGTGGGCTGGTTGCTGTTAGGTGCAGTTAGAATTCTACATTACGCAGTCACTGATTGTTCTTCTACTTGTCCTTGACTTGGGTTTGGTAGATGGAGCAATGGCTCTAAGGGTATGTCCTCAAATGAAGACATGTACTTGGAAAGAAGATTGAATTAAGTTTTCCAGATTTTATGTCAAGCTCTGGATCAAAAAATACCAATGTTTCTATTGCCCATGGAATAAGAAGGTCTGGAGATTCATTAAGAGCAATGTTTCTTCCTTGCATAGAATAGATGGGAATCAGAGGATGGGAAGCATTTGGCATCTGATAACTCTAACAGAAGGGGAAGGGCGATGGTTGCCTGAGCCAGGGGCAGTGAAATTTAGGGACAGGAATGGTTAAGGAGATCCCAGAAATCAGAGATGCTGTAGCAGTAGGACTGATATGACTGTCTGGGGATATGGTCACCAAAATATTTTGAAAAATCTCTTGTTTATAAAAATGGGAATTGAGTGCACATGTTGGTGGCATAGTCTTCTCTGGTCTCAATTTGAATCTGAGAAGCAGAGGAGGCAGTAGTGAGTGAGAAGCCCCACCCAGGCAAGCTGATTGTGTAGTGTTTAGTTGAGACTGTAAAAAAAGAAGCTTGCACTGTCAGCATTGACTATAGAGAAGTCAAGGCAAAAGTTACTCAAAAACAACCGTGAATCAAGACATGCACCTTTGCCCAACAAAAACCTCTCTCACACACAAATAAAACTGGTTGAGAAACCTTTCAATTGGGCAAAGGACATGAACAGAAACTTTTCGAAAGAAGACAGAATAATGGCCAAAAAACATATGAAGAAATGCTCAACATCTCTAATCATCAGGGAAATGCAAATCAAAACCACAATGAGATATCACCTATCTCCAGTGAGACTGGCCTTTATCAAAAAGCCCCAAAACAATAAATGTTGGCATGGATGCAGAGAGGTAGGAACACTCATACGCTGCTGGTGGGACTGCAAACTAGTGCAACTTCTGTGGAAAGCAATATGGAGATACCTTAAAGAGATACAAGTAGAACTACCATTTGATCCAGCAATCCCATTACTGGGCATCTACCCAAAAGAACAAA